GCTGGCAATCACTGTTGACAAAACCAACCAATGGTTTTGCTCCGAACAAGGCACCTTCCTTTTTTTGCCATATCATTTTTATTAATTTTATAATAATGCTTTCCATTACAATCTCTCCTCTTATATTATACTATTTGGCCATGACTTCCTTCAAACCTTCCTTATGATTTTCTACCTTTCATTTCAGATTTTTGCATTTTCACTACTTAACCATTGCTTTCAAATCAAAAACATCAAAGCATCAAATTTTCTTATTCTTCTCGGCAGTGATTTTTATACCTTTCTTTACAAAGTTTCTTGCAGTCCTACCAACGTGTTTGATTGACTACAATTGTCTTTCAAATAATTTACAAATTTAGTCCAGTCCTTGATGAACTTCTGGTCCCGCTGTTCTCGGATTCTTCCCGTCATTTTGGCCAGTTCCGCATACTCCATTAACTTCAATTGCCATTCTTCCTTTGTCGGTAATTCGTCTTGTTTCCACTTCTGTGCTAATAAAATTCTTGCTGTGGTTGTTGCATATAGGAAAAGCTTAGTATCTTTTCTGTTAATGTATGTACCTACAATTCCCAGTAGAAAAGCCTCTGGTTTTTTAATATATGTATATTTCAACATTTTCTTAATTTCATTATATATCATATCCCAGAAGCATTTCACTTTCTTACATTCCCACTACATACGATAAAAGGTACCTTCTTTTTCCTTACATTTCCAGCATTTATTATCTACCCTATAGAGTTTGGCTTCACCAGTGTAATATGCCATCCATACATCATTTTTATCACATTTTCTCTTAAGGCATTACACGCTGTAAATTATATTCCTTCTTTCCATAATTTTTCCCAATCTTCTAACTTTATATTATAGCCAAAATCTTTAGCCCAATGAATCATTACTGACTTTACCTCTTCATCTTTCAGATGCCATTCCAGCAATATTTAATACATTTTTGACAATGTTTTATATTTGCTATTCAATATTTGAATTTCAAAATTTGATTTGGTATTTCCAAATCCATTTTTCTTCATATCATCCTTAAACATCTCATTAATTTGTCTGCCGAACAAGACACCTTCCTATGTATTTGTCCTAGAATCTCAACTCTGCATAACTGCAGGGTGATGTTCCAGTGATGTTCCTTCTCTTCTGCTGGCCCCCAAAAACAGCAACAAGAGGATTCTTTAGTTTTCCGGAACACTTCGTAAACATGCAAGATGTAACCAGTAGGTGTAAGAATTGGGATTTTATATCCTGGACTGAGAGAGGAAGCATGAAAAAAGGAAGAAGGTGTGCTAAAAGGAAAACTAAGCATGTGTCCCTGAAAGTTCATAGAATTATAGAGTTGGAAGAGACCCCAAGGAAGGGACCCCAAGATAGCTGTACCTCTCTCCTCTCCTCTCCCCCCCCCCTGCCCCACTTTACTCTAAATAGTTGTCATGGATCAGGAGGGTTGAACTGGATCAGGACCTTGGCATTGACCCTTTGTGCTACTGTCTCAGTGAGCTGCTCCGATGGAAACTTCCGTCCCAAGCCAAACAACTGTTGGTGGGCGGGGGACGTTATATAATTAAACAAACAAGGACACTGTAGAACTTTGACACAATAGTTCTATGTCTTGGAAATAGTTATTTCTGAAATATTGCCAAAATGTTTAAACCCTGAGGCACCGTCCGCTTTTCAGAGGAGGTGAGGCTGATTTTTGTAAATAAATACTTGCATTTAAACTGAAGATACATTTGCAAAAAAAGAAAAAGAAAACCGATGTGCTCGCAGTGCGGTAACATAATCATTCTCTTCTGTACAAGTTGCTTACTGTCCGTTTTGTTTCAGTTTAAATTTTAAGGAATGACTAATATTGATCATTTTGACCACGTCAATGCTTCTGTTTGTTTTAAGGTGCAGTGTTTTTCAAATACATCTTTTTGTGTGTGTGCGTTTTTAAAAAAAGCTTTATTTTTAAGTAACTACACTAGCCATGATTAACCAGAGTATTGTGTTTTGGGGTGAAGATGGGACATTTAGGATAATATTATATGAGCCTAAACCACATGAAATCTTGTACACCCTCCCCTTGGCATAGACAAACTCAGCCCTCCAGATGTTTTGGGACTACAGCTCCCATCATCCCTGACCACTGGTCCTCTTAGCTAGGGATGATGGGAGTTGTAGTCCCAAAACATCTGGAGAGCCAAGTTTGCCTATGCCTGCAGCACACTGATATATAGAACTTAAGAACTGACATATGGCTTTTCAAGATCAAAGCAATGGTTAGTTGATCTGTGGTCCTGTATTTCAATACTTCGCTCTTTTTGAGCCTCACTAACCCTTTTTAAATTAACGTGCTGTAACAATATGCTGTAAGAAGCAATAGAAAACCTGAAGGAAATCAATGGACCAGGACATTTGTTACTTTCCCATTCAACACATGGTACTTAATGCTAGAAGCCTACTTGAAATAGAACCTTCTGTGTTATACCCATTTGACACCCTACAGTCAGATCAATAACGTATTTCCTTTCCTCTTGCAGGTGCTCAGGGTAGTTCGACTTATAAAGATTTCTCCTGCTCTGGAAGACTTTGTGTATAAGATTTTTGGACCCGGGAAAAAACTTGGGAGTTTAGTTGTATTTACTGCCAGCTTATTAATTGTAATGTCAGCAATCAGTTTGCAGATGTTCTGTTTTGTGGAAGAACTAGACAGATTTACAACATTTCCAAGGGTAAGTGTAAAACAACAACCAACCAACCAATCAAGCAAGCAATCAGCTATGATTCTGTCGTCTTTCTTACAAATGCCTTTTTCTTTTAATTCTAGCTTTGTTAACGCCAGCTGTTTGGAAGGTGTGGGTAAAGATCATGTTGTTCCTGTGTGTTGGTTGGGGGGGGGGGGGTTGCGCGTTTCTGTTGCTTTGTGGAATGTACTGTCGAAGGCTGTGTAATGCCTTTTGATTATTTACTTCATTTAGTTTTTAAATCCTGTGCTGCCTTCTGGACCCCAAAACAACTCTAAAAATAGCTTTACAAGTACTGCTCTGTGAGTCGTTGGGTTGTGTCCAGCGCTGCACAAACAGGCTTTACTCCCTTAATAGAACTACTCCTTCCCTTATCCCTCTACAGCCCCTTGCACACACCCCAGATTTGCTTCAGAGGGTCCTCCAAAACCTCAAGAGCAGATTTCAAAGGGTGGCATCAAGCAGGATAAAAGGAAGGGGAAGTCTCATAGTGTGAGCTGATACCAGTTCAACTAGTGCAATGCTGGTGTTGGGGAAAAACCTTACATATTTATGTGCTCATTCATTTGTAATGTAAGATCTCTTCCACTTTTTCCCCTGCCCCTTTCTCCAGATTTTTCAGAGTAGTTTCCCAGTGATATCCCATCAGGCACTGATCATCCAGGCACTTAGCTTCAGAGACAAGGACAGCAGTAGCAAGATCCAGATTGCTTTCCTTCCATTTTTTGTGTAAACACAGAAGAATAAACAAGGAGAGCTGTAACTCAGGGTGAGAAATGTGTCCTTCGATCAGAATAAGAAATACGACATCCATAGAAAGCAATCTTAGTAACTGCCACCTGTTTAGAACAAACTATGCCACCATCTTTGGCCCTGCACGGCCATTTTGTGCCTCTTAGACCTCAATCATTTTCAGTCCTTCCAAGTAGGCTCTGGGGGTTGAAAATGTCAGAACCTGTAGACTAGACTTTGCAAGACATCCAGGCCATGTTTTCACAAGCTGTCATAACTTAATGCTCCAGTCTATAGCTAAAGTGAACAAGACGCATAACAGTTACGGTGAGAAGGACTGGCCTGATCATGAGGTTAAATAAGATGGCGAAATCAGCTGCTATTTAGTTTGGGCTCTTTTAAAACCACTGAATGTGGTGACATGGGATTTTCCAGCCAAAGTGTTAAAATGTACTGGGATGAACAGAGAATGAGGTGCAGGTGATGTCAGGAAATGTTCTAGTCAGGCCCTTTGAACCAACTAAATGTCACTGATAAACAACCCATTAGCTCCCAATCTAGAAAATGTGGAATGGAAAGAGAGAGGCAAAATATGTTGTTTTATAATTCTGGATACTCTGACTAAAATAAGTTCAAGTGAAGGGTTCTTTTTCAAACACAAAAAAGGGGGAATTTTTAAACCAGACATGCCAATATAATTGAAGCCGGAAACTTCCTTAAGAGTTGTCTCAGCTAATAGAAGCTTCTGCACATATTGTGTGATGTGATGATAGATTGATACTGTGCAGCGCTAAGATGTCATACAAAGTGAATACGTGAAGTGTCCCAATATCCACAAGCCAATTGTTGGCATACCCTCTTGCTGTCCTGTATTGCTTGCCACTAAGCAAGAGCAAAAGTAAAAAATGGCAGTTGCTTGTTGACATGGTACCTTTCTTTCTGCCATTTCCCTAGATGCTGAAAAGCAACTGTGCTGAGCCAAATGGGAACTATTGATTACTATGTCCATTAATGTCGCTGAATCAAAAGCCTAGAACTAAAAAAAAAAAAAGCAAAAGCGCTATAGGAACATTGTGGGGTTTTTGAAAGAAAAGGGAAGAAAAGGCAGACAACCTTCATTTCCTAATGCCTCTAAATTGCATGCTTTCACATGGTTACCTGACAAACAGTAAATAAGTAGAAGCTTATGGTCACTATGGTTACCAAACACAGCATTCTCTGGACCATTTTTGTCTTCTTATGTGGTCTGATAGATTTGTTTTCAGGTCAGTGTGAGCCTCTAAAATGAACTTCTTCAAGTGTGTTTCCTTCCTTTTCTTGGATTTGTCACTTGCAAAGTCATGTCCAAACTAAAGAAAATATGGAACATTTTATTACCTTGAATTTTTGCAATTAAATTGGCTGCTTTCTCTCATGAGAAATTGTATTTATTTCATAGGGCTTGGCCGGTACATATGAGAAACTAGAGTTTCAACAGTTGAGCAAAATGCTTTTTGAGGGAAGACCTGCACTTATGGGGCAAGGCCCGCTGCCCCTCCGGCTCTTGTGGAGACCCTCCCCAGAGCCCAGAAAATGTCTTCTTTGGGCTCTGTGGAGGGTTTCCTCATGAGCCAGAAGCACAGTGAGGCTTTGCTGAGGCTCTTCAAGTGAACATGCCTAAATGGGGGGATACCTGTAATGACATCAGGCAGGATTGTATTGCATGAGACAGATTGCACTGAATGTTGTGGAATGGGAGAACTCTGTATAATGCTACCATTTCAGACCTTAATACTGGACGATGTTAACACTGATTGATGGATGGACCAAAAATAGTGGTCTCTAATGCATTTTAGCATTGGTCGGTTTATATTGTATTTTGGAAATAATTTCTAGTTGATTACCAGTATCAGAATCTCTAACTAATCTTCAAAAGGGGGGGGGGGATCAAAAGGAACCTGAAGCCTCCACCACACAGCCACACAACATGAATTAATTCAAAATCCCTCCATTTGCATAAATCTCCAGGTCTCATTTTCACAGCTGTTGGTTCTGTCAGTTAGGTAGCTGCGTTTCAGATTCATTTTAACATAAATGGTGAAAAGTGTACCTTTCAACTAAAAATATCTTGCTCTGAAAGAAAGATTGCTACTTGCTGAACTTAAAATCACTGTATACTGCCTTAGCATTTTCTTTAAACTGGTGTTTTCCGATACAGAGAACTTTAATAATAGGAAAGATTTACGTGGAGTAACATTAGAATGAAGCATGTTTTAAATGGAAGGTTTGGTTTTCTCTTAAATGGAGACGGTTGTCTAGTTTTTTTGTTTTAACATCACATTTGTCCTTTCTAAAATGTGATGATGTAGAAAATGAATGCCATTTATTTGGCATTAAGAAAGAAGAGAGGAAAGTTTCATTTTAAGTGAAACTTGCTACACTTTCTAAGCTATTGAGATATAAATGATATAGAGATGCCGAAAAGATCAAATAAACCATGAACAAGATATGTACACTGTCACCCTGACCCAGTTAAGCAGGCTTATGTCTGAATATCTGTAATGGTTCTAGGGGTTGCTCGTGCGTAAGCTTGTCCCAACCTCTGGCTGGGTTGCCTGAGTGAACCTTTCCTCTCCGGGCAGCCACTCGCCCGTGACTGTCTCAATCGCTGGCAGAATCCGTCAGTGGGCGTTTCTTAAACTTCTTCCAGCAAAGAAGCTCTTTGACGCCAAGTCTCCTCCTACTCTCCCTGCGCAGAAGCCTTCTGTGCAAGGAGGGCGTAGGCAGCGGAGGACCCTTCCTCTCCCCGCTGGTCCCCGGCAAGGAGTCATGGGACCGCCTCGCCGATTCCCCCATCTGCCCCCCTTCACCACTGGAGCTACGTTGATTCTCCTCCCCAGAAGACGGGCTGCCTCTCCCACTCCCGGGACGCTTGCTGGGATCCCTTTGGAGCTTGCTCTCTCCCTCGGATACTGATGGCAGTTCCCTGACAATATCACTCTGGATTGGAAATTGTGGGTGTAAATTGGAAATAGATATGATACTCTTCATATGTGTATCGGGGGAGGATGCAGCCAACCACTGCTATTTTGCTTAGAATGAGAAACATATTCCAGTGTGTATCTGAAAGTACATCCCCCATTCATATTCCCACACAACTAGTTGCATGTTCATACCTCATGATGAGAGCTGGATCAGGGCCACTGATAGTTAAGAGCTTATTTGAATGTAGCCTCTATGCAGATGAATGGGTATAAGAAAGCTGAGGGAGACATATCTGAGGAAATCTACGAGTGATGAAACTTCAACATATTGGACATATATTTTTTTTTTAGCATTTATTGAAAAATTCATATAAATTCTTCCTTCATAAGATATATCAAGGCAGTATAGAACATACAGAATACAACAGGATCAGTAAAAGTATCAATAGAAGCATAATGATAAACTCTGATAAAACAGTAATAGATGCAGCTCCTGCAGAACCGCTACTTGTAGGGAGTTCTAGAGCGCAGGGTCTGCTGGGCTAAAGGCTTGAGTCCTGTTGTTGTTCTTGTTTAGTCCTTTAGTCCTTTAATCATGTCCGACTCTTCGTGACGCCATGGGAGCACGCCAGGCACTCCTGTCTTCCACTGCCTCCCGCAGTTTGGTCAGACTCATGTCTGTAGCTTCGAAGACACTATCCAACCATCTCGTCCTCTGTCGTCCCCTTCTCCTTGTGCCCTCCATCTTTCCCAACATCAGCGTCTTTTCCAAGGAGTCTTCTCTTCTCATGAGGTGGCCAAAGTATTGGAGCCTCAGCTTCACGATCTGTCCTTCCAGTGAGCACTCAGGGCTGATTTCCTTCAGAATGGAGAGGTTTGATCTTCTTGCAGTCCATGGGACTCTCAAGAGTCTCCTCCAGCACCAGAATTCAAAAGCATCAATTCTTTGGTGATCAGCCTTCTTTATGGTCCAGCTCTCACTTCCATACATCACTACTGGGGAAACCATAGTTTTAACTATACGGACCTTGAGTGAAGACCTGATGCAGTGGCATAGACAGAAAGGGGATAGGTGCTTAAAGGTGGCATTTAAAAAGAACTTACAGCTCAGCTACTCATGTGCAGTGTTGATCCTTGGGTTTTATGGAAAGATTCAGCCCACCTTTCCTTTCAACCACATGTTTGCTTCTGAGGGTGAGGAAAAACCAGCATGCATACAGGATTATCATGTGCTTTGGGTGAAAATGCATGCCTACGATATCACAACAGCGTATAGGAGTAGACTAAGGAAGCTGGGAATCTTAGCAAGCCGATCTCCAAGGAACTGAAAATAGTCTTATAGTGACCCATCACATTTTTACAAGCAGGAAACCAAACTCCACCCACATTTTAGCTAGCAAGGTTATGATTGCTGCATGCAATTGCTGACACGGATATTGGGTTCAGGATATTATTCGCTTATTTCGATAAAGCGTGCCCAACTGAGCTGTGTGTTTGATTATGTTCTCTTTTAGGCTTTTATGTCCATGTTCCAGATCCTTACACAGGAAGGATGGGTAGATGTCATGGATCAAACTCTTAATGCTGTCGGGCATATGTGGGCACCTGTTGTCGCTATCTACTTCATACTTTATCATCTTTTTGCTACCCTGGTATGTTGTATGCCTTGCTGTTTCATGTATTTACTTTTCTGAAATGTTGCTCGTGCTCATATGTGGATGAAACGAGGCACAGGAGAAATCAGATTTTACAACTGTCTGAGGAAGCTGCCTTGTATTGAGTCAGACTACTGGTTGATCTAGCTCAGTATTGTCTCCCGCAGGTGATTCTCTCTCTACTCCTGCATCCCCTTTAACTCAACTAGCATGGGGTGGGAGTAAGCAATAGCCAGTATAGCATCTCCCTTTGTCCTGCATTGCCTCCCTGTAGCATATTGGTTTTGGTATGGAAGCACTCACAGGTAGCACAGTAAACTAGGCACACAGAATGGCAAATGAGTGTTCAGCATGGTTTCACAGGTGGAAGCTTGCCCCTCTGTGTCTATATTTCCCCTGTTTTAATTATTTGATGGAACCTGAAGTTCAGCCCTGCAGCTTATGGTGGCCAGTCTTTGCACTAGCGCAGGAAGTTGTTTGTAAACATGACCATACTCCTTTTCATAATACAGTGGTACCTCGGGTTACATACACTTCAGGTTACATACGCTTCAGGTTACACACTCCGTTAACCCAGAAATAGTGCTTCAGGTTAAGAACTTTGCTTCAGGATAAGAGCAGAAATCGGGCTCCAGTGGTGCGGCAGCAGCAGGAGGCCCCAGTAGCTAAAGTGGTGCTTCAGGTTAAGAACAGTTTCAGGTTCAGAACGGACCTCCGTAACAAATTAAGTACTTAACCAGAGGTACCACTGTATAATATTGCAGATGCTACCTACAATCATGAAATCATAGAATTGTGGAGTTGGGAAGAGAGCCTAAGTGTTATCTAGTCCAACCCCCTGCAATGCAGGAATGCTGCCCACAGCCGTCACTGGGTGGACTCGAACCACCAACCTTCTTGTTAACAGACCCATTGCTCTGCAGGAGAAGACAGGGTACCTGTCACAATTCACAATGAAATCAGGGACTACAGTGAAGCAGAAACCTAAACCGATCATCACTGTACTTTCCCTCTAGCTGTCATGATTCACAGATTATGGTCACTGGTGACCTCAAGCCTTATTGCAATGCGCTCCATGTGGGCCCAGCAGAGCAGTTTTTCAGAGATCTCAAAGTCCCTAAATAAATCCTATACCCCACCCCCTACCCCAAGTTCCTAAGAATAGCTGGTTGGTTCCACTCCAACAGAACTCTAGAGTGGTTTAAAGAAGTTGGTTGTCTTCTGCAATTCACTTCACAATGAAGGAGATGGAGCTTTTATGAAACTCACCGCAGGTGCATGATGGAGTGATAGTTCCTTTCCCTCTCTGGTTCAGATAGTGCAGACCCTACATCTGGAATGCATATTGAGTTTTCATAGTACAGTCCACCTGCCCCCCCTCCTAAAACCACACACACACACACACACACACACACACACTGCAAGACGATGCAATTGCAGTGAGATTTGCCACTTCTCTATTACATTTGTATAATGGTGGCACCACCACTATTTGAGGAACAGAACCAACCCCACCACACTACTAAACGGGGTTCAGTTTATTTCCACTTCTTAAAAAAGAGGGGAAGAAGGGAAGTGAAGCCCTAAGAATATATGGTGACACAATGACAAGTGGATAAAAGAGCAGAAAAAGGTTGCAGTAAATGACAATGAGAAGGCGGGTTAAAGCTCAAAAGTGCTAATTGTATGCACTTGGAGCTGGATCTGTAGAGAGCTGGAGAGAAATGAATAGCTTTCACAGCAGAAGCTGGAATGGAGTTTAGGTTTGAAAAACAAAAACTGTGTTCAGAGAGAAGTCTATTATTAAAATCCAGAAGGGAATGGAAGAAGTTAAACAAATAATAAGCTGAGGTTTAACTGTTCTTTTGTGATAATGTTCTAGATTTGTTTTTGACATTCGGTAAAAAAAATCTCCATTGTGTGTCTATCATTCTCAGCTATAGAGAATATAGTGGAAATAACCACAGATTAAACTGCAGCATATTTCACAGCTAC